AGTCTCGTTCCCAGTCTGTGCTCTAAGAGAGCTTTTTTCTCCTGTTCCTGGATCTTTGGTTTTTGGCTCCCTGCCTTTTTGAATTTATTTTTATTTTGGACTCATCCTAAAATAAAAGGATTTTCTTTATATCAACTCCTGCCTCGTGTCATCCTGGGTATCTGAATATTGGGTCCAAACCATCCTCTCATCGTGACAGTATGTGTGTGTCTTTTACAGAATCTTTTTGTTTTCTACAAATTTCATCAATGCATCAAATTACAGGTCGCCACCTCTCATCCCAGAGTTTCACACTGAGGTCGTCGGATGTTGAGGAATGATGGCGCTACGGCTATTTTTCGTTAAATCATGCAGTCTTTCAGCACTCGGAGGGTGTGGTGTCAGCAGCTCTCAGCTGCAGACACTCCAGATTTTACTGCTATATTTAGGTTGATTGAGATGTAAAATGGCCTAGGGTTCTACAACCCCCCAAGGCACTTCATAACACACATCAATTATTCACTCATCCATTCACACACTAGTGATGATGAGCTACAATGTAGCCACACCTGCCCTGGGGCGCACGGACAGAGGCGAGACTTGCCATACACTGCCGCTGCCAGTTAAGTACCACCAGCAGGCATGGGTTATGTGTCTTGCCCAAAGACACAATGGCAGCATTCTCTGGTGGGAGCCGGGATCGAACTTGCAACCTTCCAATTACTGGACAACTCGCTTCACCTCCTGAGCTACTGCTGTCCCCATGTGTCTATTTATCTGTCCATGAAGGCAGGGGTGTACAAACTTTTCAAGACAAGGGCCAAAATCAGCAAGTTAATGGTTTTCGCAGGCAATAAAAATGTAATTTTTAAAAATAAAAAATATTCTAAATGCATTTCACGATCACTTTTTGAAATTGGTACTTAGTCTATAGGAATGTTAGTAAAAATCTGGACATGAAAATGTTAGAAAGTGTTGATCAATTGATGTCTACAGGAAAACTTCAACAGAAGATTTTCATCAGCTTATATTCAGCATCAATATAAACTAATTTCACCTAATTTCAATAGCAGAAATTAGGTGACCAAAGCCAAAGCAATCGCCAGTCAATTGAGTTGATTGGCTCTTAGCCAATCAAATCACACTCTTTTGATCTCGTGACTCCCGCTGAGAACCAGGAGGTCACCTCATTTCTGCTGTTGAAAATCTTCTGTTGTTGAATTTTTAAAGATGAAAATCTGCAGATGAATTTTAGGAGATTACATTTTTGCTGGTGTATTTTGAGCAAAAAAAAATTCAAATACATTAATTCAAAGAATAAGTTTAATTAAATAAGTTTGTCAAAAATTTTACGTCTAAAAAATACATATTCTGGTGAAAATGTTCTACTTCCATTTGTATCTCTTTATTTATCAGAATGACGTTAAATCCATGAAGTGTTTTCAGCTGTAAAGTATAAAACGTAACATTCATTGAGGATAAATAATGCATGTTTTGTTTTGAGATCATGTTGCAGCCTTGTGCTGACAGTACCACAAATCTTTGCTGGGTTTTTATGCCAAAGGAGAAACCTCTCACCACAAGAGATCAGAGAAAAAAGCTTCAGAGCCAGCCAGTGTCGGTGGAAATGATTTATGATCCTTAGAGGTCAGAAAGCATCAGAAGGAACAGACACAAATTTAAAGTTCAGAGAGCAAGGCCAGAGGTCACCGCTCAGTGGGAAGGTCAGGGCAGGGAAATGTGCAGAGAGAGACTCCCGTGGACTCTGCTGCTCGTTTCCTAGGGGAGCGTTATCACGGTGACACAGAGGATGGTGGAGCCTTGATGATGCATTCACACACTCTTAAGGGTTTGTGCATGGACCATGGCATGGACACAGACGTCCCACATGATCACAATCGCTTCATGGCTGGGAGGCAAATTTCCCACTCAGCGTGTCTCTGTGTTCGACTCACACTTGCAAAAGGACAGATGGAGGGGAGGAGAGAGGGAGAGGCGAGTACAGTGGAGTCCTGTGGCTCGGGCGTGTTAACAGTCTTGATTTACGCTGCTCTGCATGCTGTGGTGGGACGCTGACAGCCGTGTGTGTGTGTGTGTGTGTGTGTGTGTGTGCTGATTCAGACCCTCAGCAGCTCTTATGTCTGTGTAAGCAAACACATGCATGGAGTGTTTAGGATAGTTTCACAGCCAGAGCGGCACCAGAAAGCCCGAGTCCCAGAGTTCAGCTGAGGAGGTGGAAACGAGGATAGAAAAGCACAAAAATCAGTCCCTCATTGTGTGTGTGTGTGTGTGTGTGTGTGTGTGTGTGTGTGTGTGTGTGTGTGTGTGTGTAGAAGGGTGAACCACGCAGACGCAGTCCAAGAGAGTTATGAAGAATCAGATTTATGAAACAGATTCAGTTTTATCCTTTTGTCTTTGCAACCTGAGGTCACTCATCAGTGTCCAATTAAATCCCTGATGGTACGGAGGACACGGAGAAGCTGATTAGGACGGCAGACGCAATGAGGACTGTTGGAGAGAAGCTGTGTGGATTATGTGCATAATGACTTTCACTGACAATTATCTTTGATCCAGTCCCCCATCCACCACTGTTTCCCTCCCCTCCACCCACCCTCCATCCGTCATCAGAGTGTCTTTAAACGCCTCGTCTGACACTGCTCGAGTGACTCCTGGAAACACATTATAGCTCCTCAAAATTCAGCACGCCCAGACCCTCCTACCTCCCTCCCTCCCCCCCAACACTGCTAGGTGAGTAGATTCAGAGCGGGTGAGTAATGAGGCTCACTCATTCGGGGTCAGCGACCTCACCGGGGCTCAGATCAGGACGAGGGTTTGTGCTGGGAGAAAACATGAAGGGAAAGGAGGGCAGGAATAACAGCAAGAAGGAGTTTCCTTTTTTTCCCCTTCATCATTCCTCTGCCGTTATTTGTCATCCTCTCTGTGATCCCTGTCAGCAGTTACGGCGCTGCGTGGACACGGGGGAGTGAGGAGGGAAGTGGAGAGAGAAAATGTTTAAGTGCTGATGGCAGACCCTGGTTGCTGCTGGGACTGAGGTGTCAGCTCCCATTCTGCCACAGCGTGACAGGAAAATGATAGAGACGGAAGAGAGGAGAGGAAGAAGACAAGGATGGGGGGGGGGGTCTTTTGTTTGTGTGTGCTTGTGATGACTTCTCTTTTGAAGGCAGAACAAGTGCTCAACAAGAAAAAGGGAAGGGAGAGAGATGGGTGAGGCTGGACCACATCTCTCGGCTGTCTCCTTCTTCCTCTTCACCTCCTCTGCTTCCTTGTTTCCTCCTCCTTCATTCAGTGATTGATTGAGCCGTACTGCTCCCTTGGTGACAGGCATTCCCTCACGTTTCCACGGCGATGGGGTCAAAGGTGGGCACTCGTTATTGGCTTTTGTCTGTAATCATCACAGGGTTTGCGCTGCGTGTTTATTGGCCTCCCTCGTCCTCGTCCTCCCCTTTCTTTTGACCCCGACAACCGTGCTACGTGCAGCAGAGCGTGACCTCCCAGAGGTCAAAGGGTCGTGACTGTTTCAACACACAGGTCATGAGTGTTTACATTTTGGTGTGTGTGGATTGATGCAAAGGATCAGAACAAAAATATGTAATCTGATTAAGAGAAACTGACAATGAAAGATCACTTCTCTTTTGTTTCAACCATTTTTCTCCTCCTCTCTTTATCTCACCTCTCCAGTCTGCATCCTCTGTCCGCTTGTGGTTGGTTGGTGTTTCACAACAACTCTATTAGCCTGTAGAGAACGTTCGCATTCATGTGTATTTTTTTTAAAGTTTACATGCCTGTGGTGTGTACAGTGCACCCCTCCGCTGTCTGTCCTCATCGATCCGTCTGTGACAAATACGGGTTATAGACAGCTCTTTGAGATCATCAAGATCAATCTTGTCACAAGCACACTTCCTGCTCCGTCTCTCACGAGGAAGAGAGGCTGGTAGTGACAAAAAAATGATAAAAACAGGAAATATTCTTTTTCTTTTTGAAAAGCTGCACATTCATAGATCTCTCATGAAAGTGTGTGTACGTGCGCTGAAGCAAGGGGAGAGAGTGACTGCATGGCTGCCTGCACCATATGTGCACGAGAGGAAGTGACAGAGGGAAATGACGGCTCTTCTGTGGAGACAGAGATATGATGATGGAGAGGTTCCTCCAGACACAAAGATGACCACCAAACAGACGAAGATGACATGATCGGGCCTCACCAGCGGACAAACGAGGGAACAGGAAGGATGGAACATAAGGGTGTGTGCGAAAGTGTGTGTCTGAGAATGCTCTATGTCAGTGATCAAAAGCAGCAGACTGTTGATTTTAACAACTGGAGGCTGAAAAAAGAGGAGATCTGAATGAAGCAGATGCTCAAGGGCTGGCTTGAAGATCCTCCTTCCTACACACTACACACACACACACACACACACACACACACACACACACACACACACACACACACACACACACACACACACACACACACACACACTCCTTTCGTCCCCCATCTCCCCCCTTCTCTCACTCCCATGATGAATCAGCTGTCACTCAGGCACAAGTCCAATCTACTGATAATGAGAAGTGCATCAACACCCGCTCTTCCTTTCTCTCTCTCTCTCTCTCTCTCTCTCTCTCTCTCTCTCTCTCTCTCTCTCTCTCTCTCTCTCTCTCTCCCTCTCCCTCTCTCGCTCTCTCTCTCTTTCTCTCTCTCTCTCCCTCTCGCTCTCTCACACACACACCGCTCTCTCTCTCACACACACACACACACACACACACACACACACACACACACACACACACACACACACACACACACACACACACACACACACACACACACACACACACACACACACACACACACACACACACACACTCACAGCCATGTGTGCATAACACCAAATCATTCATCCCTCCCTTACTCACATCTGATGATTCTCCTCCCCTCTTTATTTTCTTCCTCCCTCCCTTTCTCCCTCTTTTTTCCCTATCTCCTCCTCCTCGCTGAGCAGAGCAGAGCAGTCAGTGGTGGGACCGAGGCAAAGGAGGGAGGAGAAAACAGGAAGAAAAAAGGACAGAGGAGCACAAAAACAGTTCATTATACAGCAGACGAGCAAGAAGCCACTGAATGAATAACAAGGAAGGGATTACAAAGCGCAGGACCAGAGCAAAAAAGAGAGAAGAGGACGCCGACTGAAGACTTTCTCTCTTTTTCTCACTCCTCCCCCTTTCTACCCTTCCTGTCACCCTCCCAACTCTCTCAGAAGCTGTACCTCCCAGTGAAAGATGGCATGAGCACACTGTGACCCATCCTCAGCTTCACGCAGCTCATTTCTCTTTTCCCTCTTCCTCTCTGCCTCCTCCTTCCTTTTCCTCTTAAATCTTCTCTGATTCCTGCACGGGTTCATACCAGGAGGTGAGGGGTAGGAGTAGAGACATCCTCACTCCCCTGCAGGGCCTAGAGGAGCTGTTTGATGACTTTCACCTACAACAGGCTTCTTAACCCGACCGACCACAGCTTGATCCCTCAGCTTCCTCTGACCTGGACTCTCACTCACCGCAGCAGGGACTCACAAACATGTTTGGATTAAAGTCTCCTCACTTCTACCTCCCAG